ACAAAATTAGGTCAGAAGCTATAGCTTGGACTGAGATGTTCGAGTGTCTATGTGACACACAACCTCAGTACAACGTCGAAAATCACTAAGTCTATACAATGTTCTGTGAACAGAGTTCTACAGAACTAACAAGAATAATGAGACAGACAATCTGTCCAACCACCAAGCGAGTCTAGAGCCGACTGAATACTTCACGAGAGGTGAGGACATCCCCCCCTCGATCATGTGATAGCCCCGTGGACAGCACAGCTCAGAAGCCGGCAGTATAACGAGCGACAAGCGATAATTACAGTAGTTTGACAATCAAGACTTGAACTGAGCACATATTATGTACATCCTAACAACATAAGCTACGTCAAATAAGAATATAAAGCAATATATTTACGATTTAGCTATTATCGCAAATATAAGCAATATAAAATTACAGTGGACCCCCGGTTAACGAACTTTTTTCATTCCAGTAGTATGTTCAGGTGCCAGTACTGACCGAATTTTTTCCCATAAGGAATATTGTGAAGTAGATTAGTCCATTTCAGACCCCCAAACATACACGTACAAACGCACTTACATAAATACACTTACATAATTGGTCGCATTTGGAGGTGATCATTAAGCGGGGGTCCACTGTATATGAAAAGATAATATACATTATATATATATACATAATAATCATTGTAACCCATTTAGGGGTTGCAACACTTGCTTACTTACTTCCCACTATTATTATTGTTGTTGTCTTGCAGGTTAAGAGGAAGGATGCAGTGTTAGTCAAATGTTTCCATGTCTTCTGTTTCGACTGTCTACGAACACGCTACGAAACACGCCAGCGGAAGTGTCCCAAGTGCAACGCTGCATTCGGTGCCAACGACTACCACCGCCTCTACCTCACCTGAGCTCTGCCCACTGCCAAAACACCCGCTCACTGTTCCCGTCACGGTACCCATCACAGTACCCCTCACTGTGCTAGACCCTCCTTCGATGACAAGTTATCTGACTTACACTGTACTGTGTGTGCACGACCAGACCAGGCGGAAATATTGATTTTAGTGTTGCGGATGTTGTTTGTGACAGCCACCAGTGATTATGTGGAACCATAGATTCGGAGTGGAACCTCGGTTGTATGTGGAACCTTATATTCTATGCGGAACCTCAGGCTGTTTGTGGAACCTCATGTTCTATGCAGAACCTTATGTTCCATGTGGAACCTGAGGTTTAAATAGAACCTCGCTTGCTGTATTATGCAGACTTAAAGTGTATTGAGGCCACTAAATCTGTTTTTAATAATTCCTTTTCAAGTATCAGATGGTACAGTTCTTAGTGTTACACCACCTGTTCTCCAGATGTACACCACCTGTACTCCACCTGTATGACATCTGTAGTCCACCTGTTGACTACCTACAGATCATTTGTGGTCAATGTTCGTAGGTTCACCAATGGTCATCTTGGACCACCTGTGGTTGTCTTGGACCACCTGTGGTCATCTTGGACCACCTGTGGTCATCTTGGGCTACCTATAGACCACTAGTGGTCATCTGGGACCAGCTGTAGGTCACCTTGGACCACCTGTAGACCACTGGTGGTTGTCTTGGACCACCTATAGACCACCAGTGGTCATCTGGAACCATCTGTAGACCACCAGTGGTCATCTGGGACCACCTGTAGACCAGTGGTCATCTGGGACCACCTGTAGACCACCAGTGGTCGTCTGGGACCACCTGTAGACCAGTGGTCATCTGGGACCACCTGTAGACCACCAGTGGTCATCTGGGACCACCTGTAGACCAGCAGTGGTCATCTGGGGCCACATGTAGACCAGCAGTGGTCATCTGGGGCCACCTGTAGACCACCAGTGGTCATCTGGGACCACCTGTAGACCTCCAGTGGTGATCTGGAACCACCTATAGACTACCAGTGGTCATCTGGGACCACCTGTAGACCAGTGGTCATCTGGGACCACCAGTGGTCATCTGGGACCACCAGTGGTCATCTGGGACCACCTGTAGACCACCAGTGGTCATTTGGGACCACCAGTGGTCATCTGGGACCACCTGTAGACCACCAGTGGTCATCTGGGACCACCTGTAGACCACCAGTGGTCATCTGGGACCACCTGTAGACCACCAGTGGTCATCTGGGACCACCTGTAGACCACCAGTGGTCATCTGGGACCACCTGTAGACCACCAGTGGTCATCTGGGACCACCTGTAGACCACCAGTGGTCATCTGGGACCACCTGTAGACCACCAGTGGTCATCTGGGACCACCTGTAGACCACCAGTGGTCATCTGGGACCACCTGTAGACCAGTGGTCATCTGGGACCACCTGTAGACCAGTGGTTATCTAGGACCATCTGTAGACCAGTGGTCATCTGAGACTACCTGTAGGCCAGTGGTCATCTGGGACCACCTGTAGACTACCAGTGGTCATCTGGGACCACCTGTAGACCAGTGGTTATCTGGGACCATCTGTAGACCAGTGGTCATCTGAGACTACCTGTAGACCAGTGGTCGTCTGGGACCACCTGTAGACCACCAGTGGTCATCTGGGACCACCTGTAGACCACCAGTGGTCATCTGGGACCACCTGTAGACCACTAATGGGCGTCACTTGGTCCTCGACCAATAAAAATTCCACCTTCAGTTGTAACTTGGGTATTAAACTTACAAATCCATGTTAAACTTTAAGTTGCATCGAAGACGACTTATTTTTGGTAAGTTTGGCTGTGTTTATCTCACATTAATTACTTATTTATTTT